TACCAATGGAAGAAACTGAGGCAGGTTATTAGGTAACTTACCCACAGGTATAAAACTGGAAGGGAAAAATAAATACCCAGCTACTGAACCTGGAAGCTAAGAATAAAAATGAGCTACTCACAATTCTACAGCCTCACAGACCCTGGCCTCCACCTGAAACTCAACAAGTACCCAGAGCAAATGACAGAAATCCTCTGAGTACATCCTTTCATTTTAAAATAACACAGCAGATGACTGTCCATACCTACTGATGATTTCTAAGATGCTGCCTTGCCTTTATATTCTAGATCCTATCTAGAGGGACATTCCTACTGTTTGGATATAGTATACAAAGACTAACAGTGGAGGTGCCATCTTTCAGATACGAATGCACAACCAAATTATAATTAACTGGCAAAAGACTGACAAACTCAAGACAGCACATGCAAGGGCTGAGACCCATTCTGGATTGTAAGCAGCCACTGACCAAACATTAAGACTCTGTGTATAGCTGTAAGGTCCCATTTAGTTTTACAATTCTTTTAAGACCAATGTTCTACTAATCTGCTCCAAACTTAATGTTTCTAAAATCAGTTCTATTTTCAGCAGCCTGGCACAAACGCATTTTTGCAGTGCTCACTGTATGAAAGGAACTATACCAATTTTTTAAAGTGCTTCTTTGCTTTGTGTCCCAATTTTTTTCCCAAAAAGTATGTACTGCTTTAACCATATGAAAAAAAGTCAAGACAGATATTGCAAAGTTGCCAGTTTATGGTCAGGGGCCAGCAGACTAACTTAGCCAGTGACAATCAACGAAGACGGCTAAAGTGGACAGTTCGGAAGTTGAATGGACAGAACATGGTGGCAAGTGCACAAGAGATAGGCGCTGATCTTCTCTTGTAAAAGCCTGTCTTTGGTACTAGAAAGAGTCATGTCATTTCGACAGAGCACAGAATACGCTTAATAAAACTAGGCTTTAGTGTTGGGAGCTACCGAATTCAGCATACAACTTACTGGGATTAGCGATGCCTTCAGAAGACATTCAACAGGGATACACTTTAGGGCCCAGAGATCAAAGGGCAACAGGGCAGAGTGAGGATCCTCAGTCATCGCCCTGCCCTTAGGCCAGTTCTCATTCAATTCCAACAGTTTTGTTATCAAATAGAATGAGTGCCCGCCATTCTTCCAGGCACCATTCTGGATACCAATGCTATCATCTAAGCATCAAAATCCTATGAAGCATGAATTGTTACTATCCCTCACTTACAAATCAGACCACAGAGGCACAAAGTTACCCAGCTAGTCAAAACCGACAGCTTTGCTTGACAGAATGGCCGGGGAAGGAGACACGTGGACCCCAGTTAACAGATGAAAACCACAGATACTTTAGTTAAGATTGCACTATCTCACTGGTTGCACTCTAATTTCTATTTAAGAATTCGGTTTTTTGTTCATCTGAAACACCATTCCTGCCGTCTTAGCCCAGAATCCTCCGCTGCTAAAGGCTGACATCTGTACCTTTCTGAGGCCGCTCAGACTCTGGGCTGCACAGTAACTACTAGTCTCCCACGGAACTGAAGGCTGCTTGATGGAGCTGGATCTTTATCTGTGTATCTCTACCCTCCCAGTCTGAAAAGCAGGAAGCTACTCAACAAAGGTTTGTGATAGTTAATCACTTCTGCTTTTCCACAGTTTTGGGGGGCTCTGAAAAAATATTTTTCCAGTCTAACTGCTGCCTAGGCTTGTTGCCTTTTAGCCATTACTTGGGCTGTCCATGTTCAGGACACTGCTGGATCTCTCATACTGATTTTGGTGGAACTGCCTTTCTAAAGTAAAAATCAAAGATACGGTAATTCTCTCAAATTAGAAACTTTCACCTACTGGTTCTCTATCACCTACTGGTCAAAGTTCACAGCACTGTTCTCCATCTTATCCCCACACAACCCCACCTGGGGCCAACTCTACCACCCCTCCCTGACTGCAACTATCTACGGCTGCACATGGTGACCCCTGAAAACACAGCTGAAATTCTCTTCACAGCCTTCCCCCGTCGGCTCTTTCCTTCTCTCCCTTCCTACACTGTGACCTTCCCAAACACAATCCCTTTAGGCAAACATTCATACCTCTATCTTCAGGTCTGTCAAATAACAGCTTAGTGTTTAATAAATGTTTACTGAAAGAACAAATTATTAAAGAATTCAGTAAATCTGCTCAATGTATTTTTTTTTAATTTATCTGAAAGAGAGATCTTCCATCCACTGGTTTACTCCCCAAATGGCTGCAACAAACAGGGCTGGAGATTGCCAAACAGGTCCCAAAGCCAGGAGTTTCACCCAGGTCTCCCACGTGGGTACAGGGGCCCAAGCACTTGGGCCATCTTCTGCTGCTTTCCAGGGCACATTAGTGGGGAGCTGAATCAGAAGTGGTACAGCCAGGACCATATGGGATGCTGGCGCTGCAGGCGGTGGCTTAACCTGCTGTGACACAGCACACACCTCAAAATATAATTTTTAAAAAGTATTTATTTGAGAGACAGAGAGAGAGCAAGCACACACGTTCATCCCCCAAATAACCACAAGGGCCAGAGACAGGAGCTGGGAGCACAGGACATGTTTCCCATGTGGTGCCAAGAACTCCTTCACCTGAGCCATCACTGCTGCCTCCCCAGGTGCACTTGAGTGGGAAGCAGGAGCAGAGCCAGGACTCGGCACCCAGGTACTTTGATGTGAGATGTGGGTGTCTTAAACGCCAGGCTAAAGGCCTACTGCATACAATTATATCAGTCTACCATCAATCAACACAATTCTGGCTTGTTTTCCAGTACCCGCAATAAATGGTGCACTTCTCTAAACTATCTCATCCCATTCACGGATGAATTCAAGATCTTACACCTTAATCACCAGCTAATCACATCACCATTGCCAAAGATGCCAAACAGGTGCCAGTGAGTATCAAAATCTCTTCAAATCATGAGCAAATAAGGAATGTTCACACTACTGTAAAAGACATAGAAAGGCAACGTTAAAGTGGAATAGCTCCCACTTAAGCACATGAATTAAAATCATATAATTCTGGGCAGTGTCTTCTCATCTCTAGGGGCATACTACAGGGAAGACACTCAAATGCTTACTTTTTTTAAATTTTTTTTTTCGACAGGCAGAGTGGACAGTGAGAGAGAGAGACAGAGAGAAAGGTCTTCCTTTGCCGTTGGTTCACCCTCCAATGGCCGCTGCGGCCGGCGCAACGCGCTGATCCGATGGCAGGAGCCAGGAGCCAGGTGCTTTTCCTGGTCTCCCATGGGGTGCAGGGCCCAAGCACCTGGGCCATCCTCCACTGCACTCCCTGGCCACAGCAGAGGGCTGGCCTGGAAGAGGGGCAACCGGGACAGAATCCGGCGCCCCGACCGGGACTAGAACCTGGTGTGCCGACGCCGCTAGGCGGAGGATTAGCCTAGTGAGCCGCGGCGCCGGCCTCAAATGCTTACTTTTAAAAAAACCTGTGTAATAGCTAGGGTTGGCCTCACAGTCGACTAGGTCAGGTTCTAGGAGAGCCCAGGGATATAACCTGACTTTTTGCTACACTTGAGGCCTTTTGCAAACAATCTGAACCACTAACATTTTGGTCTCCTCACTTATCTGCCTCAGTATGCTGAGAACATAATGTGCTTCACAAGTCTTGTCACAAGGTGCAATGTGCTCTGAGGAGATCCTCACTTTTCATCCCAGAATAAGTCTCTGCTGTTATCTTCAACCCAAAGGCTTTCTTATCGTGGAGGCACAGATGGGGGAAGGGAAGGGAAGATATAAAATGACTTGGTTGAAAAGGCCCAGCCAGTCCCTAACAGAGTCTTCATTTTCACTACCAGTTCCTAATCCTCTTATCAAAAAAAATTTTTTTTTGGTTTGGAAAGCTTTTATTGACAGCAGGCAGAACAGGGTCTCAAATTAGTTATTAGCTTCTCATACCCATTTAGTTTGAATGTATAAGTTTCCAAGGCCTGTAGGTTGATAGCTCTAGGGAAAGACACTTGGTGGATTACCGTTTTGATGGCTGGATCCGAGTTCATAAATCTACCTCTAACTTCTAAATTTCAAGACAGCTTGATCTAAACTTTAAAGGCATTTCTTTTCTAACCAGATCTCTAATCTGCAATTTTTTCTTTGTCCTCTAAATGTGTCAAGTCATACTGGCCTCTCCAGCTTACGATCCAATTATAAAAGGCTGCCAGAATCTTCTTTGACCTAAACAGTAAGCCAACCCCTGCTACACTGCAAAGGGTTCCTTGGCCTCCATCATCCATAGCCAAAGATGTTGACTTCCACTCTGAATTGTTATAGGAACCCAGAAACCTGAAGTCCAAGAAGCCCCCACCCTCGCACTTCTGAACCACCTCTAGAGAAAGCCTCTTAATCCTGACCCCATCAGAGTCTGAAGTGGGGGGAACCTCTGTTCTTTCAGATTCAGCAGCACCAGTGGTGAGCATTTGGCACCCCACCTGTGAACCCTTGCAGGTGGTATCAACCTAAAGACTCCCATACCGTGTGTAGTGCTCAGGGCAAGCTACTTAGATGCGCTTTCCTGAGCCCAGGTGACTTGCATAACTGGGAGATTAGCACAGGCTCAAAGGGGTGCAGAGATCACAACTGGGCTCACGGCAGTTTACTGAAAATTCTAAACCAACGCATTCTCACATATGCCTGCCTCTTGCATGATCTAAGTTCTCCCCCTACACTTTCTGCTACACCACTGTCGGTGGTCTTCCTCTGCAGAGGCCACGGGCCACCCGACAACTCATTCTGACGACCGCCTCTTGCGGCTGGCATTATCAAATCGCCGAGCCCGCATGTCCCACAGCCTCTGCTGAGACAGACACTGCAGACCCAAACTGGCCATCCCCTCCTCCTCACGTCTCCGCGTCGCTCGTCTTTCCTGGCCGGTATCCTTCCCCGAGAAGGCTTGAGGCTCCCCGGACCGCAGGCTCCCAGGGCGCAGCGCTGCGACTCCCCCCAGCTGGCACCTACCTCCTCTTGCAGCGCGCCCGGGGTCGATGCTCGCCAGCACCCTCCAACGGCCCCAACGGCCGCGCCAAGCCTCCCGTCTGGAAGCCGGGCGCCGCGCCAGGTGCCGGCGCTCACCTCCGCGCCCACCCACAGATCTGCCGGAGCCACCCCGCCCGCCCCTGGCCCAGCCGGTCCCTCTACGCCTCCCGGGCCGGGCGCGTCACAATCCCCGCCGCGGGGCGAGGCCGCTCACCGTCACGGCCCCCGGGAACGGCCGGGAGTCACCGCTCGGCGTCCTAGCCCGGCTCCCGCAGCCCCGAGGGCCCGCACAGGCGCGGCGGGACGCAGCGCTCCGCGCCCGCAGGCCCCTCCTCCGCCGCCGCGGGCTCCCGCCTTCCCCGCCCCGGTCCGCTCCGCCCCGCCCCTCGCGGCCGCCTCCAGGCCCCTGCAGGTTCGCAAGGTTCCCACCCCGCCCCCGCGCGCCGGCGCCGCAGGCCTCGCCGCCTCCCATTGGCTCCGCCAGTTGCTAGGCGATGAACATCCACGGCCGGCATTGGCCGGGTGGGGGCCTCGGAGTCTCCTCCTCAAAAAAAAAAAAAAAAAAAAAAACGCCAAGAACCAACCCTTCTCCCCGGAGCCCGAGCGCGCTGCGAGCGCAGCTGCGGCTTCGGCACCTGTTAGCCCTGCGGTTCACCCGGCCGAGCTCTGCTCCCCGCCCCCTCCTCACACCCGGCGCACCCAGGGCTCGGTGGGGGCAGGGGGTCGCCGCTGCTTCAGAGCATATTTTCCGGGCCCCCCACTGAATCCCAACACCCATCCTAGGAGCAAACGCGAACTCGGTTCCCAGAGCCGGGTGCGTTTGCTGGAGCCAAACACCTGGCACCCAGAATTGGGTCAGGCCCGAAGGAAGGGAGGCGCACGCATGGGGGATCGTGGATGCAAATAACCTAACGGGCAAAGTTATGAGGAAAAATTGGGGCAAAGAAACGGACCTCGGTGCGAGTTTGTAAGAAATGGCTCCCGTGAACTAGAAGTTTATGCGAGAAATGCCCCGAAACATCTGCCTGGAAAATGAATGCACATAGGGCTGGTGAGCCCTGGCCACGTGGCAGGCTCCTCCCCCGTCCCGTGTCAGGCTAAAGTTCTAAAGAGAAAAGAAAGCGATCAGACGGCTAAATCGCAGGCTTATGAGTCAGTTTATATATACGGTCTATTTGGATTTTTTTTTTCTTGTGAAGCCAAGATTTTTACTCAAGAAGAGAAAAAGACAGGTTTGCCTTTTCCAGGAGGCACCTGAGGAAGCTTGAAGCACTAACTGAGAGACAACAGGGAAGAGTGGCCCTCTCCCAGTTTACCCAAACACACTCCACTCCCGGATGAGAGGTCCAGGGCAGAAAAGGCGCAGGCCGCGGTGACAACTTGAGGTCCCAAGAAAAGGCTCCTGTTTGCCCTTGGCCTGCGCCGTCAGGAGGTCCCACTGGATGCGTGGACCACGGCTGACAGCCATATAGCCCAGTGAGATGTCATCCTTGTGAAGGTGCTATCTGCAGAGCTAGGGACTAGGCGAAGCCACTTTCTCCCGGCAATGACCTTGCTCCTAATAGACTAAAGAAGAGGGGTTGGGGGTAACACTGCTCTCGAGAAGGGTTTTGAAATTTCATTCCCAAAACACCACACCTGTTCCCATCTCAGAAAGCAACTTAATGACAGGTTTGCTTTGAAATAGGGCTTAAGGCTTTATTTAGGCCAGTTCACCTCCTCACAGTCTCAATCTTATTAGCTGGAAGTGCTGAGATCAATCACTTCAGTAAGGAATGTCTGGCACCCCCTACTCCCACCCCCACTACCACCTAAATCGTATTTTAAGAAGGTTTGAGTCCCACAGAGGTAAGCTCTGCAAAGTTAAGTCCGGGCCCTGCCCTTCCTCCCCGCCCCAGGAAGGAATCAGATCCCTCTGAAAAACAACAGTTCTCATTGTGGAGAGACCTTTCCATGCATAAAATTACCAAGGGCTCCTAGGAGCTTTTCTTGTCTCTGTTGATGCTACACTAGAGACCAAATCAGAGAAATTTAGAATTATTTTTACAACAATGAATGAAAGTTAATATTAACAGGAATAGCACATTTTATAAAAGTTATTATGTCCCCCCAAATTAGTAAAAAGCATGGTATTACTTTAAAATTTTGCATACTTGGGGCTGGCATTGTGGTGTCATGCCGCCATCTGCAGTGCCGGCATCCCATATGGGCACCAGCTGCAGTCCTGGCTGCTCTACTTCCCATCCAGCTCCCTGCTAATGTGCCTGGGAAGGCAGCAGAGGATGGCCCAGGTCCTTGGTTCCCTGTACCCATGTGGGAAACTTGGAAGAAGCTCCTGGCTCAGCCCCGGGCCATAGAAGCCATTTGGGTAGTGAACCCATGGATGGAAGATTCTCTCTCTCTGACCTCCATCCCCTTCTGTAACTCTGCCTTTCAAATAAATAAAGCTTCTAAAAAATTTTTTTGGCATACTTTTTTTTTTTTTTTTTTGACAGGCAGAGTGGATAGTGAGAGAGAGAGACAGAGAGAAAGGTCTTCCTTTTGCCGTTGGTTCACCCTCCAATGGTCGCCACAGCTGGTGCGCTGCAGCCGGCGCACCGCGCTGATCCGATGGCAGGAGCCAGGAGCCAGATACTTCTCCTGGTCTCCCATGGGGTGCAGGGCCCAAGCACTTGGGCCATCCTCCACTGCACTCCCTGGCCACAGCAGAGAGCTGGCCTGGAAGAGGGGCAACCAGGACAGAATCCGGCGCCCCGACCGGGACTAGAACCCGGTGTGCCGGCGCCACTAGGTGGAGGATGAGCCTATTGAGCCGCGGCGCCAGCCTGGCATACTTTTGTTTCTAATTTTTAAGCAAAGACACAGCAACAAAGAGAGCTCCCATTCCCTGATTTATTCCCCAAGAGTCTGCAATGGAAACAGATGGGGGCTTGCGTGGGAGCTGAAGCTGGAAACAAACCAGGCCTCCCATGTGGGTGGCAAGAATTCAGTTCTTGAGCCATCACCTCTGTATTGGAGTCTACATAAGCAGGAAACTGGAGTCAGGAGCTAGAGGAGGGTATTAAATCCAGGGACTCAAAGTGGGATGCAGGAGTCTTCTCTAGGCTGAGCAGCCACCCCAATTTCCCATATAAAAAGTCATCTTAATTTTCATTTCTTAGTTTCATCTTAATTTTCATTTCTGCTTCTGCAATCAATTTGCACGATTTCAGGCAGACTCTGAAAAACTGCACTGTATACTCAGAATGACAGTGAAAAAGTCAAATTATAACAGTATAATAAAAATAGTTTTAGCCATACAGATTCCTTGTGTGGGTCTCAGGGGTCCTCCCGAGGGTTTGCATGTCATGTTTTAAGGACCTCTGGATTCAACATATCTTGATTCTCGGTCCCTCTTCATGTATGACTAGTGAAGGGGCTGAGCGTGTGACCTAATTCTGATCAGACATAATGGGAGGTGGGTATGCGGAGGGACAGGGGTTGTTGGTCACTTTCCAGTGAGAAAAACATGTTTGGTGGCACCCGCTGAATCCATGAGAAAAAAGCCAGAAAAATGCATGAAAGGCAACTCAGAACCCAGATGTCAGAACCCCAGCTCTGCATATCTCGAGACTGAGATAGTAAATGTCCTATTGCGTAAACCACTTTGGGTCAGGTGTTCAGCTACTTACAACCAGGAAGGTCCTGACTGATATACCCAACAAGACAGGCAATTTGGCTGCAGTGTGAACTAGTGTAAGGACATATTTAGTCCAGGGCTAAAAGAAATTGGGCTTGGTAGAACATTGCTATTGAAAGGAAAGACAAAGAAGAAAGATACCATGTAGAAATTATTTTTTTAATGTTTTACCTTAGCTGCTTTCCCCTCTTTTAGCAAAATTAAGGGGATGTGACTATGAAATACTGTTGTTTTTCAAAACACATCAAAACTTCCACTCTTATTCCTCTGTAGCCTGTTTACATTACAGAGGCCAGAGTACTTCTTTGAAAACATAAGGCAGGTCATGTCACTGCTCTGCTTTGGTTGTCCTCACTCATGTCGTGTCCTCACCGTGGCTCCAAAGCTCTTGTCACCTGCCCTCCACGTTTCTGACCTCAGGTCTTGTAGATCCATCAATTGGTCTCTCAGCTGACCGCAAACCACCTGGTTGTTTCTCCACCTTACTGAGCACATTCTCGCCTCAGGGCCCTAATGCTGGTTATTCCTAGTGTTTGAATGTTCTTCCCCTCAGCATCTATTATTACTTGCCACTCCCTTCTCAAGTTTGCCCAAATATTCATCATCTTTGCAAGGCTCAACCTAACGACAGCTATTTAAAACTGGAGCCCTCTGCCAAGTTTCCAAATCTAACCTTGTTCTTGCATAAACTTTAACCAAGATGTATGATGAATTTATTCTGATTGTTTAGTCTGTTTCTCACTACTAGAACATAAGCTCCACTGGAAAAGAGATTTCTGGTAACTTTATTCATTAATGTATCCCCAGTGCCTGAAAGAGTAGCTGGTGCTTGTGTTGGTCAGCTTTCTATTCCCACAACAAAACATCTGAAGCAACTTGTAAAGAAAGGAGGGTTGTTTCAGCTCGTGGCTTTGGAGGTTCACAATCTAAGATCAGGAAGTCCCCGTTAGTTCAGTCTCTGGTGATGGCATTTTTGCTGGCAGAGTTGGAAGGCAGTGCCAAGCATCAACTGGTGAGAGGGAGCATGCGTGTCTGTGTCTGCATCTAAGTAGTCTCTTTGTTTTATGGATTTTTTTAAGATTTATTTATTTGTTACAGAGTCAGAGTTACAGACAGAGAGGGAGAAACAGAGAGGGAAGTCTTCCATCTGTTGGTTCACTCCCCAAATGGCCGCAACGCCCAGAGCTGAGCTGATTTGAAGCCAGGAGCCCGAAGCCTCCTCCAGGTCTCCCACACAGGTGCAGCGGCCCAAGCACTTGGGCCACCTTCCAATGCTTTCACAGACCATCAGCAGGGAGCTGGATCAGAAGTGGAGAAGCAGAGACTCACGCATTTGGATGGAATGCTGGCGCTGCAGTCAAAGGTTTAACCTATTATGCCACAACAACAGCCCCCCTAAGGAGTCTCTTATAAAGCCACCAGGATTCA